ATTTCGGATGCTGTTTCACTGAGTACTATTATGTCATCAGCATATAATAGTATTGTTATTGTTTTATCTCCTATGGATACTCCTTTAAATTCTTTTGAAATATTAGTTATCAGGTCAAAGTATAGGTTAAAAAGAATTGGGCTTGAAGGGTCTCCTTGTGGGACTCCTAATGTGGAGTTGAAGGGTTTTGATAAACTTTCGTTTGCAAGGATTTTAATATGATGATTAGCCATCATATCCTCGATCAGATTGCAGATATTTGAGTTAAATCCTTTGGCTCGTAAGATGTCTATTAATTTTGAATGGATTACAGAGCCATAGGCGTTTTTTATATCCAATGTTGCTATATAGATTGATTTACCATTCTGAATGTATTTGTTAAGAACAGTTTTTATGACTGATAGATTGTCAGTTGTGGAACTTTTTGCGAGAAATCCTCTTTGACATTCATTTAAGGTTCCATTATTGTTACTAACAATTGTCATAATTTGTTTGTTAATAAATGTAGATAAAACTCTATAGAGTGTTGGTAGTACAACTATTGGTCTAAAATTGTTTAGTTTTTTTGGCTGGTCAATTTTTGGTAGTGGTAAGAGTATTCCTTGTTTAAATGATTGTGGAATATTTTCATTACCATTAATAATATTGTTAAATGGGATAACAAATTTATCCATTGCTTTAGGATCTAGCATTTTTAGGAATTTAATTGGTATGTTGTCCCATCCTGCCATTGAATTCTTTGAGTTTAAGATTGTTTTGTATAGACTTTTCTTAGTGAATTTGTCTAATCTAATGTTTTGTAAATTATTATTTTCGATTAGTGAAAAGTCAATATCAGTGTTGTCTAGTTCTGAATTAAACATTTTGGAGAAGTGGTTAATTATTTCATCTTCAAATTCATTTGTGGAAGTTACATTAAATATTGAACTATTTTTGATTTCTTTACGAAACGGATAACTGAATGGTTTTTTGGTGCTCAAGTCGTTAACTTGTTCTATAAATGCTTGTTTTCTCTCTTTTAATTTGATTTTTATACATTTATCCATTTCTTCATCTAGAAATCGTAATTTATCTTTGAACTCCATGTTGTTTAAATCATTACTGTCCAAATAATTTATGGTGTTGGTATTTAATTTCCTTTTATGATTATGGAATACTTGTTGTAGATTGAGCCTTGTCCGAAAACGCTTTTTTTTCGAATTTTTGAAAAAGTAAACACTCACGCTTCTTTTTCGCTTTCTCTCATCACATTTTGTTATTTGTGTGAGCGCTGAAACAAGAGGGATTCTTTTTTGTGCGAAAGCGATTTGGATCTTCTTGCCAAAACAATGGGTAAATGAAAGCGTGACAAGTGTTTCCTTACAACCACATTCGAAACCAACCAGAAAGAAATTCTCTTCTCATAAAAATATTTTACTTCTTGCAGTTGAGTGAAAGTTTCGAAAGCACTTTCGAAA